TTTTCAACCTCTGAGATCAGAGCCGTTGTTTGATTTTTATGAGGTCATCTAATGATCTTGAAATCTACCATTCGTGAAAAGAACTCAGTCGCATCTTCAAGAAACCGCGATTTGGAAGATCCGTGCTTCGAACAAACTTTTGCCAGAAATCTATTCTGTAGTATGTGGTTAATTCAGAAATGACCGAAACCATAAAAATTCCATTTATCTGTCATCAGAAATTAGATTTTATGCTAGAAAACTGCTTTCAGAAATCAGTAGAATCTTACAAAAGGCGAAAGTATGAAAAAACTTTGTCTCTTTGTAAAAACGTTATCACCAGTCTGTAGCCCAGACATTTTCAAGTGTATTCTGTCTGAGGACTACCCATCGACTCCATACTTCGAGAGGAAAAAAAAGCTTTTTTTCTAGACGCTCCCTAAAAACGTGTATATTTGATTGGAACTTTTTATTCAGTACACAGCACAAACGTGTATATACGATATATATCTGTGAAATAACTTTTTCTATTTACATGACTCTATTCTTTATATGATTAACATGATGTCTATATGATCAACATGTCCTTTTATTTCAAATGCTTAAAACAGGATGATTTATGTTTGAGGAAGATAGACTTGCTATCTGTGGGAAGGCAGTCTAGATGGACTCAATTTTTCTGAATCTCACTAGTATTTTACGCTAGGAATTTGATTACATCATATCTCGTAAAGTCCGAGTAAAACATGGTGTAATCAAGTCTGAAATGGGATATTCAAACGTTCAAGACGCAGGGGTAAATCATGTATAAATTGATGGTAATAATGCGAACAAAAGTTTAGAATAGTGTTCAACCTCTATTACTGATAGCTATATGTTCATCGTTCATCCAAATTAGTTTGTTCATTAAGATGCTTGTCGTTTTTGTGACTTAACAGGAATAACGTTAGAAGCCTTCTAACACCTATATCCAATGTTTGCTTAATTCAACATCGGAAAAATGGGTGTACTTCGACAAAGGTACACAAATCGCGTGAATGCCCTCAATGTTTTGTTGTTGTTATTAATCTGGATTAGAACAATCTGTTGTGCTATACCACTTTTATATTTATGCCTTATTATGATGCTGCTTTTTTTGTTCTTTTTTCTATTCTTCTTTCCATTCGTCTGTGGGAGCTATAATGTATTTCTATACGAATGAACTCACATAAATAACCTTAAACGGTTTAGAAAAAACATTTTCCAAATATAATATTCGCTGTTAAGTTTGATGTCTAAAGTATTACGAATTAAAATATCAAAAATAATTTCCTTACCCGTTTTGTTACAAGCAATAAAATCGATGACAGAATGGTCAAATAGCAACGAAATGAACCGATGAAATCCAGTAGAAGGAAGTGTGAAATTCAGTGCCAATAATTTAAAAATAAACTAACGCAAAGTAGACGGAAATTTACTTCTCTCTTATGTCTCAGTGGGTATCAGAGACAGTATTATAGTGAAAAATATAAATATCATTGTTTTGTAACTGTAATCCTCGTCTCGATAGCACGTAAAACAATGTTTTTGAAATCATGTTGCATTGACAGCGTACACAATAGTTCAATGCTTCGAAAAGCTACTACAAGCCGCTGACAAGGGATTTGTTAAGGTGGAATTTTACCCACTCCAATTCGGCAGAACGAAATGAGCCAAGTTCCTGCAATATGCAATCACTTGGCACAAAAAAGAATATTTATTGTACATTTGATTAAGGAGCTCAAAATTTGTGAAGCTGTTAACGAAGTTTATGGAGGTTAACATTTTTTGCGGGGAATTATGAGTTTATGTATAGCGCTCAGAAATGCATTTAAACTGCAGAAAAATAACGGTAGTTTCTTTTCTAGAAAAGACTTAAGTGTGTTTGATTTATTTAACTACTGTCGTACAAATTCGCAACAGAACGAATTTTTTCTTTGTTTCTTTTTTGTTGTGTCAAAAATGAAAGAGAAATGCAAAACATGTGAAGAATAGAAACGAAACGAAGATATGTCTTATTTGATACAGCTCTCTTATCTGTTATCGTTGTTTTTTTTGTTTGGAAGCACTTCAGTCTAAAAAACGTGGTGAAGAGCAAAATTCCTTTATCAATACATTTTGTACCTATATCAATCTGTAACGTTACACTGCTATTTGACCTAGGTAATTTGTTTTTCTACTCTTTTATTATTCATTTTATTATCATCAACTCGCACAAAAAGAAAAATATGTTTAGAAAATGAGTTTATCGGTATTGCTGGAGATTTTAAAAAGTAAAGCTGAAATAGATTGGGAAGCTGTCAGAGATTTTTGCCAATAATATCTTTTTTGTTTCAATAGTTTTTAAAGCTTAAGGTATAGCCGTTTCCAAGTGCATAAATTTCTGCGTGTAAAACAATGGGCGTTGGAAATAGGAAAGGAAATGGCTGACAAACAGCGAAAAAAGTAGAGGAACACAGGCGGTAAAGTACGGAACGGGGATTACAGATGCATAGACAGCTCTGCTTTTATGCACTTACTATCTGAGGAGTTTTGATAGCTGATGCTTAGATTTTTCAAAACAATGAGTTATTTCTGTGTGGTGCAACAAGCTGTTATCGATCATCTAGGTCAATGAAATGGTTAATTAATTTGTTGATGCAGCTCTCGTTTACAGCTAGAATGTTATTTAAACCCGCTTGCAGCTTGACAAATATACCGTTTATCTCGCTGCAAACGAGTGCTACAGCTAGATTTTCTCGTTTACTTATTTTTGCTTAGGCTGTTGCACGACATAAAAACCAGAGAGAGACTGACAACAGAGAAAATTTCATCTACTTAGCTATACTAAAAGATATATTATCAGTAAGGAACTAAGTTATATCACATGGTTATTTATTTTTCGATTTTGTTGTTTTCAGTTAATATGACAGCAACCTCAACTGGTATAAGATGTTTTCCCGTTCGATATGGCCCCGGTACAGAAATAGTCTCATCAGTTCATCAAATGATGGAAGCCAATCAGCTGAAATCGGTGTTTATTATGTCTTGTGTGGGCAGTGTCCGATCAGCAAAACTGAGAATGCCTGCTACAGGCGAATTTAAAGAATTAACCACACCACATGAAATAGTATCACTCGTCGGAACATTCGATGAAAAAATACATCATCTTCATGGAAGTTTTTCGAACAGTCAAGGAAATGTAATAGGTGGACATATTCAGGGTGAATCATTAATTGTTTTTACAACAGCTGAATTAATGTTAGCGGAATGTGAAGATGTTACATTTTCTCGAGAATACGATCCAGAATCTGGTTATGATGAGCTTGTCATTCATAAGAAAAGCTCTATCGGCGATAAATAGAGGCTCTCGTTCGATTTTCTACATCGTGTCTCCATGATATTTCCGACGTGAAATATTCACTAATACCGTTTTAATATTCAGATTTATATACTTGAAGTATGACCTAAGATGCATGTTATCATTAATGGCACTCTTTTAAAGAATGTTTATTTCATATGATGTTTTGTCGTTATAGTTTTTTAAAATTTTTTGCTATGGTTGCTAAATCTAATAGCTTCACTTGTGATATGTTTTGGTTCTGTTTCAAAATTCAGTCTGGTTTAGGCAAAAGGACAATAGCGAGCATAACTGACTAGATGGAACCGGTATCTGCTGAAAGCGATTTGATGGATGTATTTTAATAATAACTTATCTTTATTTGAGATATCTGTGTAAGAGGAGATTAGGAAAATATGCATCACGTCGGTTGAATTAGCTACAGTTATTTGACGAGCACTAGTGTATCAATGTTCTATCTAGTACCAAGAATTTCGTATTGGAACGGCTCGAACAAATGAGTATTTAGAATTGTTCGATCACCACTTTCGTAACTTTTTGCTAAACTTATAAAAGTTGCTTTAAAGGACATTTTTAGATATACACTTACTGCGAAGGATGGTAATATACCTGTCATTTCATGCGCCGACCAAAATGGATCATTCAATAAGTTTTGTTTGACGAGTTGTTTTTTCTGGAGAAAAAAAGGCTATTGCAGTAAATGGATATCACCTCAAAATTTAAAAGAGTTGTGGATCATATGCAAAAAATTTCAGAAATTCTTGCGATTACAGAACATTGAACAGTAATTTAAACTAATTTAGTCTTCTGGCCGAGTATATCTCGTCAACTTAGAAGAACACATCAATGCCTTTGTTACACTTATCTCTAGTCGAAATATCAGAACATTTCCCATTCTCGCTGATATCAACGCTACCATAACAGTATTTTCGTCACCACAGGATGTTCTAAATCCATAGCTAACGGCTATGATTCTTAAATCTACCAAGCCTATTCAACTATATGTACTTTTTATACTCTTATCATAAAAAAGAGATTTTCAGGCGAGCGAATTTTAAAATTTTGAAAAACAAATTCAATAGAAATACTCAGATGACCATACAATCGAATGGTATCACTTTTACCGAAAAGTAATCAAGTTTTCATCCACTTATTAGACCCATAATCAACACAAGCACGGGGCAGAAATAAATGTCTTTCGCAATTCTGCCAACGTCAGGTATTCTTTGTCCTAATTCTACCAAGTTCACATGAAATACATGGAGCTCTCCCTCATACGCAAAAACACCATAATAATGGTTCTCACGCATTATAGTAAGAATTATATAATATAGAAGTATATTTAGACTTAATATAAGATATAAATATTACACCTGAAGTATTTCCCAAGATTTCTAATAGCGGTTTGTCGTAGAGAGTTTATTCTTTTTCGTTTAAAAGAGAAAAAGAAACTACATGGACTGCCTGGACTGAATCAAGTCTTAGTTTTTTGTTGAATTGAGGATTTTTAGAAAACTCAGAATGATTTTTCGAGTTTTGGAGGTTGTTGGTTGCCTGGAAAACCGACAAAGGCTTAATTGGAAAATCGGCGCCGGTTAGTCCAGTCTAGTTTAAAATATAACAAATCTAAACTCTCCAGTTTGAAGTATATTTGAAAACCTTGGGAAAACTGCGACCAAAGCAAAACGATCTCGAAAAACTTTTTCCTACTATCCTGATTCAGACGCTACCGCGTTTAAAAAACGCGCACACATTTACTTCTTCAGATTTTGCTGCATGCCTGTTAACTCAACGCAAAATACATTATTCTTTAATTTGACTTCCAGCTTCAACGATCTCGACAAAGGTAAACATGTTTTTACTACTTTAATATGAAATATTTCAAGCAAGTATTCACTTGTTTTAACGCCACCACATCAAAAACAAATTGGGTCCACGTTAGGCTGAACATTTTTTAATATCGAAAATAACATAGAAAAAGATCAATCATTCGATCATTCCTGACAGATTTCTAATCAGAAAATTGACAGAGAAGTCAGTTTTCGATACAGATAGATGACAGGATTGAATATGATCGTCAACAGGTTTCGATTCGTTTATACAATGATCGGTCGTATATTCCACTTGAAAAAGCATTAATAATCTACCAGCATATTATACCGCGCGAAGTCTTTGAAGTACGAGGAAAAACGGACATTTCATCCACCAATGACGTGTACTTCGATCCTGATCCGCGTTTTTTAGCATGTAAATTACTCCACATTGTTTCGTCAATGCTAAAAGTAAAACAGTTATTTGACGCTCATTAAAATATTCAATAACAGTGACTTTCGAACGTCATATAAAAATGCAATCGTTGCACAAATAACACATATATCTGCCGACGTTAAAAGTTTTACCATTCATTTACCTTTGATACTAGCTAGTACGATATTACTTTTTTTAACCATTTTAAAGTCTTTACCTGGGAATAATACGTCAAAAAGGAAGTCATGTTAACGACAATAGGTGGGTTCACAATGTAAGATAACCCATTATCTTCGGACCTCCGTTCAATGATAATCTTAAAAGTATTAATATAGGTGAAGCAAATTGACATTGTGTAATTACTTTTCGTTTCTTTTCACTTTTTAAAAAATTCACTTTTCTCCTTCTATTTTTCTTTCTATCAAAGTAAAAGAGAAGAAAAGTAATTACACAATGTCAATTTGCTTCACCTATATTAATACTTTTAAGATTGTCATTGAACGGAGGTCCGAAGATAATGGGTTATCTTAC